CCCTAAACCCTAATGCCTAACCCTAACCCTAACCCTAAGCCCTAACCCCTAACCCTAACCCTAAACCCTAAACCTCGCTCGCCTCGCGCGCAGACTGTTGGACGCAGGGGCCGTCGGGGGCGGGACTCGGCCCCAAGAAGCCTCTGGGAGGCCCTCAAAGCCTGATAAAAAAAACAGCCGCCGCTCCTGCAGCTCCGCACCGCGAAAGACCACTCGGTCAGTCGACAACGGCGCGCAATATGGGCCGGCGGAATGAGCGAAGCGATCAAATAATTGGAGCGAGCAGATACGTGATCATGGCAAGGTACACCTATGCAACGCAATGCATTATTAACGCGAAGCGTTATCCAACACAGTGACAGGAATACAATGGATGGCAATGGCAGTGCGATTAAACGCATTGCCATCGAAATCAGCTGCAATAGCAGACAATGCCAATCTCACAGATCGTAGAAGTGGGCATCAAGAGCACAAGAACCAATACGGCGCCATGCAGATCAAGTCAAAACAACAACGGACATCAAGACGAGGATATGCAATGACAAACAAAACGCCTCTCACGTGCAACTGCAATACAAAAAACAGTGCCGGCAGCCCAACGAACCCAAGGGATTCGGAGAGCGCAGGGGGCAGGAATCCAGAACGCCTGGGCACAACACAGGGGCGGGAAGTGGGAGAAACGAGGAGCGAGGGAGGAAGAACGGTGACGGAGAAGGCGAGAGGCGAGATAGAGAAGCGAGGCGAAAGGAGAGAGAGGATGGAGGATTGAGGAGAGAGGAGGGGAGACGTTAGGAGCAGGGACCGAGGGGGGCTTCCCCCGCCGTCTCTTCGGAATACTCTTCTGCCAGGAAGGATGGCAGCCTCAGGGGGCACAACGAAAAAGACATCGGATGCACGGGCTGCTTCGGGACGGGCGGGAGGTGCCTTGGGACTCTCGGGGTGGCCCTCTGGGGTCGCCTGAGACCGCCGAGGCCCGCCTGGGCTTGGCCCTCGTCTGGCAGGGAGCCCTCTCGGGACATCTCTGGGAACTGTTGGCGATTCTGAATGCCTCCTGGGGCCCACAACGAGCTCCCCGGGACGCCCCTGTGGGGCCCTGTTGGGGCACTGGAACCCCTCCGAGGGCATCTGAAGCCGCCTATCCGCGGTTCGGGCCCTCCTGAAGCCATCGTTATCAGACAAGCGGATCCCAGAATTGCTCAAAAAGATCTGAGAGCTCAAATTGCTCTTGACTGGCGTCGGCCAGCTGGAGGTCCTTGTGGGGCTCTTGTGTGGCTCTCTCAGGGCCATCTTGGGGTCACTTTGGAGCCTCTGAAGCATTCGGGCGGCCTCGGGAGCCCTTCGAGCTTATGATGCGTTTGGCATGGGCGCTCGGCCACGACTCTTGAAAGGCATAAAACCACCCAAACTGCAAATCAAGTGAACATGCATAATTCACGAACATGCAAAGCAATATTTCCCAAAAACAGCTAACATTTAAATGAGCACGGCCCGAGAATACAAATTCCAGCAAACCCAACTTGGCCACAAAACACACCGCTTGGACGGCTCTGGACCAAAGACCCGAGCTTGGAGCCGCCCCCTGAGGAACAGCAAGCTCACCTTGGGACCATCTTGGGCAATTAGGAGGCCTCTTTGCATCTGCTTCTCCGAGGCCCTCTTGGGATCAGCTTCGGCCGCGACACAGCAAATCCCAGACATGCACCCAAACCTGAGGAACCCTATGGAACTCATGGCAATTTCATAAATGCGCATTGGGCGCTTACGGTCAGAAGCTGTTGCGTAGCGTGTTGCTACGGCGGCCCCAGCGACACGCTATGCCCTGCGAGCGGACAGCGTGTCGCACCGCTCCTCTCCCAAAGCTGAATCATGGGGACCGGGAAGTGGATAGCTCGTCGCGCCGAAGCGTGGTGGGCCAGAACTGGCGGCGCGACACGCTGCCACAATTTCCAGATTGTACGCGCACTGTGATTATTATACCCTCTAACGCCTCTCGTGGGGTAGGAGCCAACTTCATCCTGCTGCATCCCTGTGCGCATGCCACATGCTGCTCACCTCGTCCTCCCCATCTTGCTTTCTTGACTTCCTCCGGTTATCAGTAATTGCACCATCCTCATGGCCATATGTAAGTGCACAGTCTGCTTGCTTCCTTTTCCTCATGGCCATCTGTCACTGCACCGTCCTCACCATCCCCTTCCGCTTCGTCGTCCTGCTGGCCCCTCCTGTGCGCCGTGCTCCCTGCTCCTCCATTCCTCCTCATGGGTCTCTTCTGTGTCATCGCCCACCCCCTCATCTTCCCCCACCGTTTGTTTGATAACATCCAGTCGTCCTGATCCTCCTCCTCCTCCTCCTCCTCCTCCTCTTCCTCCTCTTCGTGCTCGTGCTCTTCACTCCCCTCCCCGTCATTATCCCCCATTTTCCCTTTGAAGTCATCATTCAGCTTCTCCTCCTCATTGTCGTGCGTCATTGTGTGCTGCAGCTCGTGCTTCTTTCCCTCTCAGTCCTCCTCGAATTATGCTTTCCCAGTCCATCCTCGTACCATGCATGGTGTCCCTCGTCGCTCTCGACATTGTCCTAATCCGTCTCTTGTTCCTTGTTCCTAGTCCCACCAGCCCTCTGGGCGTAGGTGGTCTAGAGCAGATCCTCTTCCACCCCTCCCTCTTCCCCCTTGGGGAGGGGTTTACCCCTCCCCCTACCCCCTCCCCTGGACCTGGACGGGGGGGGCCGCGGGTAGTTAGAGCGTCCCAGATGGCCCAAGACGGCTCCAAGAGCGCCTCAGAGAACCCAAGATGAGCTCCAAGATGGCTCAAGATAGCGCAAGATCGCTCGAGATGGCTCCTAAGATGGTTCCAAGAAGCCCAAAGACGGCCCCAAGATAACTCCAAGTGGCCAAACAGCTCCCCAAGGAGGCCCCGAAGAGGCCAAAATCGTCCCAAAACCTAAGGAAAATCAATGATTTTTGCTTTCTCGCCTTTTCGCTTCCGATGGCCATCCGAGGCCTGGAGATGGTTCCAAGATGGCCCAAGAGGGCCCCAAGAGAGCCCCAAAAGAGCCCCAAGACGGCCCCAAGAGCGCCCAAGAGCACTCCAAGAGCGTTCCAAGAGGGGTCCAAGAGGCGATTTTAGGGGCTTCCGAGGGGGGACGCTAATTAAACCCCCCCTCTTGTTTGATCGATCTCCTCCAAGATGGCCCCAAGAAGCGCCCAGGAAGCCCCAAGAGGTCCCAAGATGGCCCCAAAATGGCCCCAAGAGGCCCCCAAGAGGCCCCCCGGAGGCCCCCAAGAGACCCCCAAGAGGCCCCAAGAGCCCCCCCAGATGCACCCAAGATGCTCCAAGAGGCCTCGGCGAGAATGCCTAATCATTGATTCTACACAGGTTTTAGCCACATGGAGGCCTCTTGGGGGGGGGCACGGATTAAGATGACTCCAAGAGCGTCTGGGAGAGCCCAAAATGACCTCCAAGATGGCTCAAGATATCCCAAGATGTCTCATAATGGCTTCCTCTGTGTGCTGCCCACTTCTCTGATCGAGGCAATTCCTCTGGGCATCGTTTCTGGATGGGCTGGTGGGGATTCGCGAAGCGACAACAATTCCTCATGGTGCCTCTTCTCCTCGTCCCAATCCGTCTCCTATCCCGCTTCTCCTGCTCGTTCTATTGTCCTCCACTTCCTCACGTCCTTTCTCATATTATTCATCCTTATCCTCCTGCTGCTCCTCCTCCTCTAACCCCATCGTGCCTTTCATTATTTTCCATCGCTGTTCGTCCAGCTACTCTTGACCACCATACTCCAAGAAAGACTCGCACTGGAGAACTGCCAGCGCCAGGAACATCGTCAAATTCTCAAATTCGACGTTCCATCGCTATGTTGATAAAGAAGAATGCCAATCGGCGAACACTGTGCGTCAGCACTTCCCATTCCACCCATCATCGGGCGTCATCCCCTGCAGCCACCTGATCACGGGGAGCGCGCGCATGCATCTGCTCCTGCTTGCTGTCGCTACGAGGCAACCAAATGCATGCTACTCCTAGGCAGCGGGCCAGCTGTTGGGGGAAGAGGGTGGGGAGGGGGGAAGATGGAGAGAAAGAGGGACAGACCCCAGAAGTCCAGACCTTTTTCCCTTTTTTTTCATGGCCCCCAGAAACCGACAACGGCAGAACACCTTCTATCGTACACTCCGGATTTTACAAAAATAAAAGGGTGATGGTGTGATTGGGGGGGTCTGATTTGAGCTATCTTGGAGGGTTCCAGTGGGTCTGGGAAACAGGCCGCCCTTTCATGACTGGTCTGGGAGGGGTCTAAAACTGCTCGTCTGGGAAAGTTGTGACCCCCTCCCTGTTATCACGGAAATTTGCATATTTTTGTTACCACGACGTGATCATGTCTGGGACGCGGCTACGCGTGCTGCGCAGTGCTGCCCCCAGAGAGGGGCCCAATGAGGCCACGGCGACTGCTCCGCCCCGCCGTCCTCGTACATGACGAACTGCGCTTCACAGCGGGGGCGCTCTGGGATAGCGATCTGTAGGATCTGTCCGTGCGGCGTGGGCACGCACAACGGTTTTTGACACCGCGTCGATCGTTCAACCTTGAATCGATCACTGCCCCGATCGTTCATGGTTGAATGCCGTCGGATCCAGAAGCGTCACTGTGTCCCTCGGTGCTTCCGCGTCGCAGAATTCAACATTGAACGTCTTCGCCGGCGTCGCCAGCGCGCCGTCGCCGCATGAACCTACCGTAGGAGCGCTTCGATATTCTGAATACCTTTCGAACGCTCGCAGCGCACACAATATAGCAGGCACACACGAGAAGAAATCTTGAGATGAGGAATCTAGGGGCGCACATCCTTCGTCGAACCTGCGTATCGTATGATGCGAGATGGTTCTGCGGGGCCATCGGGATGTCAGAAATCATTGCAAGGCACCCGTTGGCAAGCCAATTTCTTATTGGGCGCGATGTCAACATGGAAGGCGGTTCCTGTGTGCGGGGGCAAACCAACAGCAACTGCCGCAGATTTACACTGTTCTGGCGGGGCCATTGAATGGCAGAACCTGTGATATGATGTGCGACCTTCCCTCTCTCTCTCACACACACATACCTGGCGCCCATGACAGACACGCTGCAAAAACGCGAAGACCACCGCGACTTCCTGGCACGAGGGACATGGCATCCTGGCGGACACGGGCCCTGGACCCCGGGGACCTCCCCCGAGACAAACCTCTCAGCCCCGGACCGTTGCCTGACGGCCCTAAAAGAAAGGGAACCAGGAACCCGGACATCCGACGCCGTGACTTGTTCACAGCGTGGCTCCCCCGAAGTCTGGACCTCTTCCCAGGGGGGGCTCGCTCTTCATCCTTGGAGATTGTTTGACGGCCACAAGGCCCGGCGAGGGCCACGGGAAGCAGAACACTGCCAGAAACCGTCCGTCGTGATTTTTCCACGAACGCGACGATGCCAGTGCAGGAGCCCAGACAGGGTAATCAAATGCCAAGGCCCGATTCCAAGACATTTGACGTCATAGGCTTTCCAGCACGGGCTGCCCGGAAGTCCCGATCAGTCCCCTGGCTCTGAAAGACAAGAGATACTGCTTACTTTTTTGTTGGCGCTCGCGCGCGGGGGACCTTGTACACCTGCGCGTCTAAATTTCCTGCCAGCCGCAAAATCATGAAACCTACGATGTGTTCGCGCATCCCTTGTAGCAGCTGGTCCCCTGCCTCACTCCTTCCCTGTCCCGCTCTCTGTTTTCCATCGGCGCAGTCGTGTGACTGCCGCACCGCACCACCCTCACTATGCGATGGGCGGCATGTGGGCGGGAGAACGCTCATCGATAACATCAACGTCATCATCATCGCCCTGCACCATCTGTTCTCAATCCTTCATCCCTCCCCATCCTGCCTCCTCCCCCTCCTCCCTCCTCGTTTCTCCTCCTCCTCCTCCTCCTCCTCCTCCTCCTCCCCACCCCTCGCTCGCAGCCTGAGCCGAGGGATGGCTGATGACGGATCGGGCGAGGAGGGAGCCAGCTGGGCTGCCTGGAAGACACCTGCAGTTGGTCTCCTGCCTCACTCCTTCCCTGTCCCGCTCTCTGTTTTCCACTGGCGACTGCGAGTGTGACTGTGGTTTCCAGTGGCGCAGTCGTGCCACACTTGCAGAATGTTGATGCGATTATGATTTCAAAGTTTGTATGGAATGCGAGCACGTGCATGTACTATAGAAGCACGTTTGAGACACGCTCTAGTACATGTAGACACTACTCTGGACACGATTGCAACACTATGTTGACATGTCCCGAATAAAAAAAAACGTGCCCACGAAATTTGGACACCTGGTCAATCATAGCGCACCATGGTGATTGTGATGTGAGCGCTGATGAGTATCACAGTGCCGAATGGCTGTTTTGCTTCAGTATGTCGAAAGCGCACACACTGGAAATCGTGGCGTCGATGCGACTACTTCTGGGGAGGGCCAGCGTGAAGTGGCACGTGCGGCGGCGATCGCCAGGGGGGAAAACAAAAAAAAGCCTGGGAGCGCTGAGGAACAGAAAGGGGGCGGGGAAGACCAGAGCGAGCCCGACCATGGGCAGCCCGGGAAGAGCACCGCGTTGATGGCGGGAGAAGGTGAAGGATGAGGTGGACGGCACAACGGGCGAACACGGGCGAGAGAGCAGGGTAGACCTAGTGGGCCCTAGAAACGACAAGGCCGTTTTTGTTACCGGTTCCGTTTTGCCGTTTTTGTTGCCAATTCAGACGACGTTTTTTTACGGGTTCCGTCGCGGTTCTTTTACGGGTCCCCGCTCTGGTTCCAACTCTGGAGCCGTTTTTGTTGCCGTTTCCGGTCGCCTTTTTTTTGCCGTTTCCATTTTCAAGGGACACTTTTTCGGAAACGGTGAGAAAACGGCCCTGCCGTTACCGGGGCCCACTAAGGGGTAGACAGGATGATCAGGATGACGAGGAACGAGGACACTGAACGGGGGGGGAGGGAGCAGCAAAGCGAGGAGTGAACCCACCAACGCATCCAAATGATCATCTTGGACCATGGAACGACGAATATGTGATGAGTCGTGATCCTCGTCGATCCTCCTCCTCGCCCTCAATCTTTGATCGTTGGTCCTCCTCCTCCTCGGTCCTCCTCGATCCTCGACCCCCGATGCTCGTCCTCCTCTTTTTCGTTGGTCCTCCTCCTCCTCGGCCCTTGCTGTTCGATATTCCTCCTCGATAGTCCTTCTCCTCGGTTTTCGTTCCTCAATCCCCCTCCCCCTCACCCTCGATCCTCAGTCCCCCACCTCTCGATCCTCCTCCTTTTGATCCCCCTCCTCGATCTCAACGCGCACTGTCCCGTCGAACGGCGATGTGTCAACACAGCCGCAAAGCAAAACTATGATGGACACGCACACACGCACACACGCACACGCGCACACAAGCACGCACACACACACACACGCACACAAGCAAACACGAACGAACACACACACACACACACACACATACGAACGCTCACGCACACGCAAACACATGCGCACACACACACACACACGCAACACACCACACCACACCACACCTCACCCCACCACACCACACCACACCACACACAAACGCACACACACAGACACACACACACGCACACACCCACACACACACACACACACACACGCACACACACACACGCACATACTCGCACACACTTTTTGGCGTCGCGGCCCCGCGCGCGGCGACGGGGCGTATAAAGCCGAACGCAAGCGCGAAACGCGCGAGACTACGCCCAGCCGAGCTCTACACACACGCACACTCATTCACACACATACGCACTCGCGCACTAGCGCGCACACACATGCACACACACACACGAACACACCAACACACACACACACACACACGCACGCACGCACGCAGACACACACACACACAATCACACACACCCACACACACACACGCACGCACGCACGCACGCACAACACACATGCACACACACACGCACACACACGCACACACACACACACACACACTCGCACGCACATTTGTTTGGCGATCGCGGCCTCGCGCGCAGCAGCCAGGCAACACACAATGGCAATCGGCACCGAACCAGCGCGGCCGGCCGGGCCCACAGACACACAAACACACACAAACACACACAGACACACCCACAGACACAGACACACGCGCACGCGCACGCACGCACGCACGCACGCACGCACGCGCGCGCGCGCGCGAACGCGCGCACACGCGCACGCCTGCACGCAAGAACAGACGCACACACGCACACACACACACACACACACACACGCATACACGCACACGCATACACGCACAGTCGCACACACGCACACGCGAACGCACGAAAACCCGCCCACTGGCAAAGCCGCATACTCGCACGCGCGCGCACGCGCACATGCGCACACCCGCACACCCGCTCACCCGCACACCAGCGCACCCGCACACCTACGCACACGCACATACGCGCATGCGCGCACCCGCACACCAGCGCACCCACACATACACAGACGCACATCCGCGCACCCGCACACCCGCACACCATTGCCCGCACACCCGCGCACCCCTACACCCGCACCCCCCCACACACAAACGCGCCCCCGCCCGCCCGCGCACCCCGTCTCACGCACCCGCGCACCCGCGCACCCGCACGCCCCCACACCCGCACGCCCGCGCATGCGCACGCCCGCGTATACGCACGCACGCACGCACACATACTTTTTGCAACCTGCATGAAGGGTCGCCGCGTGGCTTTCGAAGAACAGAAAAGAAGGGGGCGCGTGAGGTGGGGAAGCAGCAGCAGCACCAGCAGCAGCGGCAAGCAACGCAGGCGCGGCAAGGCTGCAACCTCAGCGCGCCCCGACTTCGAGAGGCGCGCTGCTTCGCTGGGCAGCTGGGCCAACCAGCGCCGCGCGGCCGCGGGTGGCCGCCGACGGCCCGAGGCCGGCAGCGAGGCCCAGGCTGGCTGCCATATGGCCCATGAGCTCCGCGAGCTCTGCAGGGCCCAGGGAGACTGCCCCCACTGCAGCGCCGAACCAGCGCTGCAGCTGCCAGCGCTCCTCCCCCCGCAGCCAAACCTCATCGGCGGCCCGGCCGACGGTCTGCGCCAGCGCGCCCGCCATGGCGAGATGGTGCGCGCGCGCGCCGCCGCCGTCCCGCCCATGGCCTGTGGAGGGCGCCTTGCCGGCGGGGACACGGCCGCCTCCATCGGCCCCTCGAACTCCACGAGGGGCGCGCCCTCGGACCTCCGCTGGGGCGGCCGGGGGGGATGAGGGCCAGCGCCCGCTCGCTCTCAGCTGCCGCGCCCTCGACATCTGCCGGGCCGCGCCTGGGCCTGGGGAGGGGACCCGCGCTCGCCTCGACCCCGCGGGGGGCGCCCCGGAAAGGAAGTCCGCGACCTCCGACGGCGCGCCCTGGGGTGACGGGGCGCTGCCCGAAGTCGGCGCGAGCGAATTCGACGTCGAAGTCGCCCGCGCCCAACGGGCGCGCTGCAGCGGCGTCAGGGGGGAACGCCGGCCCCGCGCCTCCGCTCGGCCCGCGCTGGGGTGCCATTTTGCCGAAGGGCTGCCGCGCTGGCCGCGCCCGCGGACGCGCGGGCAGCCGCGCCGCCGCCACCCACCTCGACCGTCGCGCGCTCCTCCACCGAGGGCGCCTCGGGAGGCCCGGCCGCCGCCGGCTGGCAGCGCCGTCGCTGCCCAGAGCGCCCGCGGCCCCTACCGCCGGCCTAGTTGGGGCAGCCGCGGCGAAGCAGGCCTGGAGAGTGCGCTGCCGCAACCTGGCGGGGGCGTTTCCCGCGAGCTCCCGTTGGCGCGGCGGGGCGCGCGCCCAGGGCGAACGCGGCTGCCGATTCTGGACCTGGCGCCGGCGAGCCCTACCGCCTGGGCGCGGGTGCCATGGCGGCTGCCGCCTCAGCACCGCGACCCACCCCGTTCGGGGGCGCCTGCCAGGCCGTCCGCGCGTCGCTGGGGCTGGCGGCCATCCCTGGGCCCGGCCCAGGCGCGCGCGCTTTGCTCTGCTGGGAAGGGGCCCTCGAGCCCACGGCCGTGGAACATCAACGCGTGCACGCGCGCGCACGCACACACGCACACGCATTTTGGTGCCGAGGCTCCGCGCGCAGCGACAGGACGGCGTCCAAAGTCGGACAAGAGAACGCGCGCGCGCGATTAGCTGCCGAGCCCTCTCGCACAGACGCAAACGCACACGCACACGCACACGCACACGCACACGCACACGCACACGCACACGCACACGCACACGCACACGCACACGCACACACACACACATACACACGCACACGCACACGCACACGCACACACACACACACACACACGCACGCACGCACACACACACACACACGCATATATATATATATATATACATATACATATATATATATACATATACGACCACCCTGCGGGTGATAAGGAGGTTGGGGGGGAGGGGCCCAGCAATGGGCAACAGTGGTGAATGTTGTTGTGACAGTGCCAGTGGATCTCACAATCGATATCACTATCCACGTCGTCATCATCATCATCATCGACATCACCATCAACATCATCATCAGCATCAGCATCACCATCGTATTCATCATGATCATCAGCATCACCATCATCATCATCATCATCATCATCATCATCATCATCAATGTCGTCATCATAATCACAAACATCAACACCATGAAGGCCGTAATCACCATCAGCATCGCACAATCGATCTCACATTCGGTCTCACTACCGATATCACAATCGATCTCGCAATCGACATCATCATCATCATCATCATCATCATCATCATCATCATCATCATCACCAACATCAACATCATCATCATCATCATCATCATCATCGCAATCATCAACATCATCATCATTATCACCATCATCATCATCATCACCATCATCATCAGAATCATCATCATAATCATCATCATCAACATCATCATCGGGACACCGACGGGACACGGACGGGACACCGGCGGGACACCGGCGGGACACCGCGCCGCCCCGGCCGCCCGGAAGGGAATCATTTCGTCCGGCCGCGCCTCAGCCACACGGGACACCAGCGGGACACCGGCGGGACACCGCGGGCCCCTTGCCGCCCGGAAGGGAGTCATTTGGTCCGGCCGCGCCTCAGCCACACGGGACACCAGCGGGACACCGGCGGGACACCGCGGGCCCCGGCCGCCCGGAAGGGAGATATTTGGTCCAGCCGCGCCTCAGCCACAGGAGACTTTCTTCTCGCCCGCCCACGCAGCTTCGCCTCGCCCGCACGGCACGCACGAACACGAAACCGAAATCGATTTCCCGGTAGGGGGGCTCTCCGTTCCACTTCGATCTCACCCCCCAACCTCCGATACACATATGTGTGGTTTTATATGTACTTGTAAATACAGATTCCTCTTCCTATATTTTTACAAGCCCGGGCGGGGGGAAAACCTGTCCCCCCCCCCCAAAACGGGACTCCCGGGATGTGGGGCTTTGGGACCCTCCGGACGGGCCTCGAAGCGGCCCCCCGGGCCTCGCAGGGCGTTTTGCCAAGCCTTCCCAGCACACCTAGGGCGATCAGGGGGGTCATCGGAGACGTCCCAGAGACACCCAAGACAGCACAAGAGCGCTCCAAGAGTGACCGACGTGACCTCAAGATGGCCCAACAGGCCTCCAGGACGGCCCCAAAGAGGCCTCCAAGAGCACTCCTAAGAAGGCCCCAAGAGGCACAAATCTTTGATTTTCTGAAAGTTTTGGCTGATTTTTGGGGTTATCCTCTTTTCGGCTTCCCGACGCTCCAAGACGGCGGTCTTCTGGGCGTCCGAAGCCGCCTGGGAGGCTCCAACATCGCCCCACAACCATCCGAAAGGGCTTCCAGGCAGTCCAAGAGAGCCCCAAAACGGCACAACACGGGTCCAAGATGGCCCTCAGAGAGCCCCATGGCGGCCCAAGATGGCCCCAAGACACCCTCCGAAGCATTCCAAATCGTGACCTGGTCGTTCAGGGAGACCGCGGTTGGAGGCAGGGTGGCCCGAGGAAGTCCCCAGAGGCCCCCAGAATACGCTCAGGAGGCCTCCAGAAGGCCTTAAGAAAGCCTGAAACAACTTTTGTGAGGCCCCCAGAGGCTCTCCAAGGAGGAACCTCCGGAAAAAAAGAGCTGAGAAAATAAAGAAAAAGAAACATGGAGGAAGGATAACGAATAACATTATTATAGCGGCGATGCTGGAAAAGGCAACAAGGAGTTAGTTCTAAATTGTCGGCTTGACCTTCCTGCTATTCCGCCTGCATACCAAACTTCAAGGACCAAGGTGCATGGCGCGAAGCGCCACTGCAGTCTTGTCTACATATATATATATATCTATTATCGCGCACACGCGCATACGTGCACACGCGCACACACGCACGAACTGGCACACGAGCACACACACACACACACACGCACACACGCCAACATACACACCAACGCACACACAACCACACAAACACACAAACACACACACAACCATGCAACCACAGACACACACGAACACACAAACACGCAGCCACGCAAAGGCACAGACACGCAAAGACACGAAACCACAAAAACACAAAGACACAACGACGCAACCACACACACGCACAAGCACGCAAACACCCAAACACACAAACACACGAACCCACTATTACACAACCACGCTGCCACACAAACACAACGATACAAACGGCACACAAGCACACACAACACACACATACACACTACCACAGCCAAAATCACAACCACAACCACAACAACAATCACAGACACGAATACACAAACACACAAACACACACACATAAGTCAACACGCCGCAAATACAAATGACAATGCGAAGCTGATCAAACACATGTGGTATAACATTTAGACGCGGATTCGTATTGCACTTAGACGCGATCCGCACGGCCTCAAACGTACTTAAACAAAAACCAAAGAATGCAGGATGTAGACACGCTTCAGACACTTCCAGCTCGACATAAATCGACTTTCAGACACGGCTCATACTGATATGACACACTATTGCAATAGTCAGGCACGGGTCCTGCACGAGAATGCGAGAGACACGCGAGCGTGTCTACTGTACTACATCCACCCCGAATCGCCGAAAATATGCGCCCACTGAAAAAAAGAGAGCTCGCTAGACGCGCCGCAGATGTAATTCAATCTGGCGCTGTCTTCCAGGACGGGCCGGCTCTTCGCCCTGGGGCCCGGCAGGGGCCCCTGGGAGGCCGAGCGCGGCACCAAACACGTCCGTCGATGTGTTCTAACATCGCGAGCATGTCTGGGTTTCTTCCTCCAGGGGCCCGCTTCCTTCCTGTTTGGGTCAACGCGGGGGTAGCTGAGGGGATACAGTCGGAGCGCTGACCTAAGGAACCCTAAATAAGGAACGGGGCCCCTTTTTTCCATAAGTTGAACTTCGATTTCCCATGGAAAACATAAGGAAAACCTGAGGCAAGCTGCGAAACACTTAAGGAACACCGAGCCCCTCCCCAACGAAAAAGGGTTCCTTCTTCAGGGCCCCGACTGTATGGGGGACTATAAGGGGATGCCAAAATGGCTATATCTGACCCGACCTACATAACCCAGTTGCTCCGGGGGGGTCGGATGACTCCGCTGTGTGAGCTGAGCCCACTTAAACTCTATCGCTGACCACCCTAAGCCATTTCGGGCACACTTGGAAGCCAGAGCGGGCCCAATATAGCCACTTGGGAATCCGCGTGTAGCCCCCCTATCCCCTCAGCAACTGCCGCGGCCATCCCGGTGCTGACGCTCGCTTTTTCCGTGCCTCGCGCTGCTCCCCGGAGAGCCCTCGCGCGCCGGGGACCTGCACGTCCACACGGACCTCCTCTGGGCCGAAGGCCCCGTGGTCTCGCCGAGCGAGAAGCGCTGCTCCGGGTCGAAGTTCGTGAGGCCCTGCCCCGAGAGGCGCGAGGGGGCCGCGCAGATCAGCGCACGGACCCAGGCACGCTCGCGCCGTGAAAAAGCCGCCACGCAAGGTTTCTGGCCGTTCTCGGCGCCTGTGTGGGCCCTCGCTGGGCCCTGGGACCGTAAAGCAACGGCTCGGGATGAAACAACGGACTTGGGGAGGAGGAGGATGAGGAGGTCAAGGAGGAGGACGAGGATAAGGAGGAGGAGAAGGAGGACCGCCAAACTCCCTCGTCATAGGCATAAGCGCCATGCAACGGTTCATTTCCACTGAGGGAACTGCGTCGTTCGGCCACAGCAGATTGTTCTCAGGATTCCAACGCCACGGATCAACCTGAATGTTGCGTCTTGACGGTCTTTCATCGCGCCAGAACGCAATTCCCAGGATTTCAACACCGCGAATCAGCGTAACCGCTGCGCCCTGAGAACCCTGAATCTCTCCCAACCACCATTTCTGGTTAGCTGATCATGGGAGTCCGTCAAACCCTGTCAATAATAAAAAAAAAACACGAATGCGCCCGGCGCTAGAACGAGAACGACATTAAGAACCGCACTCAATCCGCGAAACGCTTGTAACATTATAAAACGAATGTGCACGGCACTAAGGCGATAATCACATGTTGAAAACGACCAGAGCTCAAACCGTGAAACTCTTGCAAACATGTAACACGACATGTTTTTAATGTGCGCCACGCTACGGCAAGAACCACCTTTTGAAAACCACCCGCCCTCAATCCGTGAAGCCCTTGTAAACTTCTATAACGGATGTGCGCGGCGCAAAGGTGAGAGCCTCATTTTGAAAACGACCCGCCTTCAATTCTTCAAACTCTTGCAACTGTTTGAAACGAATGTGCCCCACGCTACGGCGAGAACCACGTTTTGAAAACCACCCGCTCTCAATCCGTGAAACACTTGCAAATGTTTAGAACGAATGTGCGCGGCGCTAAAGCGAGAGCCATAATTTTGAAAACCACCCGCCCTCCATCTTTGAACATACTGTCATTGTGTACGCGTCAGGGTCATCAGTGGTGAGTAAGAATCATGCGAAACGCCCGGCCCGCCATAAAAAAAAAGCCTCGGGGTGCGGCAGGGAGAAACCATGTATAAGGAAAAGGAATGGAGGAGGAGCAGGAGCAGGAGGAGCAGAAGGAGCAGAAGGAGGAGGAGGAGGAGGAGAAGGAGGAGGAAGAGGGGGAAAGGGCCGGGACTTTCAGGGACCCCGTCTGGAACAAAGCAAGACATTGTACCAGGGATGGGGCAGGCTAGGCCATGGGGGGAGGAAGAGAAGGAGGAGGACCTCTTCCCCGACGTTATCTCTTGTTCCGCCTCCTCTTCCTCCCCCGACTCCTCCACCATCCCGAAGTGAATCAAAAGAAGCCACAAAATGAGATAGTCATCAACGCGATCGACGGTGCTGCACGCTCGGTTTCCTCTTCTCGTGCGCCGTGAACCTGTTTGTCTTGGTCTCTGTGTTACTGAACGCATCCATTTCTCGAACGCACCGAAGCACCGGCCTCAAGTGGACAGCCCCTGTGCCCGAACGCTGGAAGAACTGAAGTTTTTTACACGTAGATACCGAATCCATAACAACGTCGGAAACATGAGAGAAGGGCGGACAGGAAGAGCTAGAGGCAGAGAGAGAGAGAGAGCGAGAGGCGCCCGAGACAAATGACATATATAAACGAATTGAGTGTCATGGCGGTCAAGCAGAAGAAGTGTGACAAAAACAAGTGTTGTCGCCCCCCCTCCTATCTCATGATGCCCCCTGCCTGGGATTCATCCATCCTGCGAATCAGAATCGCCCACTCGCCCTCTCCTAGAATGGGGCCCCATGTATACGCCACGTAATTTGGTAGGCTATTTTGGTGCCCGGACAGAACACCTGGGCGACACAACCCGAAGGGAGGTGCCCAAGGTGCCTGCATGAATTCACATGCGGTCGGACCTCGCAACACGAACGGCGGCACGGACCCGCCCCAGGCGTTATCCGCGCCGCCGTTGCGAAGTGCCTCGAGATGCCACCCCGAGACACGGCCACCGGCACCACCCCCACTTGGCCGCCGGCCTCAAGCAGCGGAGGCCCCGCTGCCCAAGGACTTAAGTTCCCGCGCCCCCCACGTCGGGGGGCCCCTTCGAGTAACCCCATCGGGCTTCTCAGGGGTGGTACGGCGGGCCCGCACATACTGTGGCTGGCCGACCACAGGGCAAGAGTCTCTCCCACAGCCCCGTCGAGCTGTGGTGACGATCGGGCTGCCAACCCGCCTGTTTTCCTGGGACGCCACGAGGGCACCCAGCACGTAATTTGGTAGGCCACGGAGCTTGGTGTAGAACGGTCCCAACCACTCGAGCTGTGGAATGCTGGAGCATCTATATACATCTACCGAGTTCCTACGCCGAGTGCCTTGGTTCTTTCGTCGATCAAACGAACAGTGTATACGTCGAGCCCCTCCGATCCCCAAGCATCTAACATCTTGTTTGTTGTTCAAGACGGGGTCACTTGAAGTACCGATCATTTCACCAGAGCCAGTCTTTCATTTGGTGGTCCCCAAACGTGGTGGTGAGAACACCCGGTGGTGAGTTTTGGGCGATTTGGGCAATGTTTTTCGAGCGCTGGTTGGCCCAGAAAACGCAAAACCTCGTGGCGACCGCGTGTCCCCAAACCCGGTGGTGACCCAGAATTATTTTTGGGGGGAATCGGGGTCACCACCGGGTGTCTCACCACCTGGTTTGGAGACCACCAATTCATCCTGGGTAGTGCTTTGACGGTCCCGGGGCCCAGCGAGGGCCCCCAGATGCTCAATCTCTCAAACACCTTCCATCATGATTTTTGTGAGCGGGAATTGTCTGCCTTCGACGCAACATAACATTAGAAACAAATGTGCCAAAACAATCTTAATCACGAGTTCAAGCAAAAAACAAACCTGCGCGAAACTGCCAGACAACTCATACAAGCAACCGATCGCATCCCCGACAGCTAGTGCAAGTAGTACAACTTATTGATTGGGATTCGTCTGTATGTGTTGCATGAATTCCTCGGGAATGTCCGCTGATTTGGCGAAGCAAAGCTCTGCGAATCGCGAGTCGTGGCGAAAATGCCGGGCTCCGCAGAACTGCCGAACACCGAACGCAACCAACTCAAACGCAGCAATCAATTCATGGCTGAGTTGTTCGAACCATCCCGCATTCGTTGGCACATCGTTTTGCCAATCTGCCAAGTAGCTGACAACATGCCGTTCGCTGTCCAGGCTTGGACTAAAAAAGGAAGGGGAGCGCCCTGCGAAGCGCAGCAGCGCAAGCGACGCGAGCCCGAGCTGCGGGCGCGAGGCGCGCAAGCAGGCCTGCTCTGCCTGCTTGCCACGCGAGCGCGCGCGAGGGGGCGCGTGCGCCGCCGCCCGGGCTGGGGGGGCGCGCCCCGCACGCTGGGCCGCCCGGGCGCCTCTCTGCTCGGCGGGTGCACCCGGCTGTAGTGCGGCGCCGGCGCTCGGGAGCTTGGGCCCAGCTCGGGTCGGGCGAAAGGGGGGGATATAGCAAAGGGGGGGGTTTGAGAATCAGCTCGCGTGGCTGACTTTCCCGGAGCCTCCCGGCGCCGGGAGGCGGCCATGTATCGAGGAACGGGCCCCTCGGTGAGGCCGAAACCAGCTGCATGCAGCAAATTTCGCACCCCCCCCTTTCCCACCCCCCCCCCTTTCGTCCGGCCCGACCAGCGTGTCGCAGCGGCGGCCCCGGCGGCACGGCCGGGTCCCGCCGGCGGACGGCGTGCCGCTCCCCCCGCGGGGCGAGGGCTGCGAGGAGAGGAGGAGGAGGAGGAGGAGGAGGAGGAGGAGGAGGCAGGAGGAGGGGAGGAGGAGGAGGAGGAGGAGGAGGAGGAGGAGAGGAGGAGGAGGAGGAGGAGGAGGAGGAGGAGAGGGGAGGAGGAGGATCGGCTCGGGACGCTGACGCCTGGGGCCGATTGGCGCGTCGCGCCGAAGCGCGGGGGGGCCAGCCCTGGCGGCGCGCGACACGCCGAGCCAGAGCTCCTGACCGCACCCGCCCACCGCTCCTGTTGACCAGCCTCGAACTGATCCTCCTCCTCCTCCTCCTACTCCTCCTCCTCCTCCTCCTCCTCCTCCTCCTCCTCCTCCTCCTCCTCCCTGAGATGGGCAAGCCAAAAACGATAACAACCTTAGCGAGAGGCCCTCAGAAACTGAGGGAATCCTTAAGATCGGTATCGATCGAGGTAAGGTGATGTCAAACATAGGGAAAGGGATATGTTTCAATTGGGCGCCCGAGTAATCCGGGGTAACTCGGGTCCGGGGTAACGCGGGTTTGGATTCCCGAAAAACGAACCCGAGTTAGAGTTAGCCCTGACCCTAGTTACCCCTGATGATTCGGGGCTCTGGACGCCCGAGTTATCCGGGGTAACTCGGGCCCAGGGTAAATCGGGTTCGGAATCCCGAAAAGCGAACCCGAGTTAGCCCTGACCCGAGTTAACCCTGATGATGGCTCTGATTTCAAACTGGTAATGCCGTGGGGCCCGTCGGCTTGGGGCGTCTGCGCTGGAAGCTCGGCGCAGCGAGCGGCGCAAACTGGTGCCCGAGCGCTTCGTCAGCCCGGCGCGCCGCCGCGCGAGACCCGGGCCCGAGCGCCGCACCCGCCGTCGCGGTGCGACTCGCGCGCGGGGCCGATTGGCTTCGTGTCACGACGCGTCTCTGGGAGGTCTCTGGAGGTCGCCGGGTGTCCCGGGAGGAGGGGCCGCTGCTGCTGGGGGCCCCGAGCAGCAGGCCCGCGGAGGCGTCTCCGGCGGGGGCCTCCGGCAGGAGAAGCCGAGAGCGGCCCCCGGACCCAGATCCTTGAGCCTGCTCTGTCCTGCCTGTGCCCCTCCTCTTGCTTGTGCCCGTTCTCCTCCTCCTCCTCCTCCTCCTCCTCCTCCTCCTCCTCCTCCTCCTCCTCCTCCTCCTCCGTATGCCCCTCATCATTCTCATCCTCCCCTTTCGCCGCCTCCTCCTCCTGCCTGTGTTCCCTCCTCCTGCCTGTGCCCCTGCTCTTCCTCCTCCTCCTCCTCCTCCTGTAACCTCCTCCTCCTCCTCCTCCTCCTCCTCCTCCTCGTCTCCTTCTTCTCCTCGTCGACCTTCGACGATCGATACTCCTTCTTGGTATTCCTTCTCGGTTCTCGATCATGGATCCTCCTGCCCCTCCTTCTTGATCCCCCTCCTCCTCCTTCCTCCTCCACCCCTCCTCCTCCCCCTCCCCCTCCTCCTCCCCCTCCTGCCTGTTTCCCCTCCTCTTACCACCTTTGCGCCTCCTCCTCCTCCTCCGCCTCCTCCTCCTCGTGCATGTGCATGTGCTGTGCCTGCGCTCGTCCTCGGTCCTGCTCCCTCCTACCCGTGCCCTCCCTCCCTCCCTCCCTCCCACTCATCCCCCCCCCCTTAGCAAGACCTCGCGAGCGGTGGCTCGGGTGAACCAGGGCGTCGGGGGGCCCGAGGAGGAGGAGGAGGAGGAGGAGGAGGAGGAGGAGGAGGAGGAGGAGGAGGAGGAGGAGGAGGAGGAGGAGGGGGAGGGGGAGGAGGAGGAGAAGGGGAGGAGGAGGGGAGGGAGGGGAGGGAGAGGGAGGGAGGGAGGGAGGAGAGGGAGGGAGGGAGGGGGGAGGGGGGAGGGCAAGCTAGGTGCGCTCGCGTCATATCTGACGTCCTACCCCTCCCTCCCATCCCTTACCATGGCGCTGATTTTCTCTATCCGCGGACGCGTGTCGTAGCGGACCTGTGGCTCCGCGCGCGCGTGCGTAGTGGGTGGTGGTGCACGTGCGTGCGTGCGTGCGTGTGTGCGTGGTTGTCGTGGTGGTGGTGGTGGTGGTGGTGGTGGTGGTGGTGGTGGTGTGGTGGTGGTGGTGGTGGTGGTGGTGGGTGGGTGGTGGTGCTGGTGGTGGTGGTGGTGGTGGTGGTGGTGGTGGTGGTGGTGGTGGGTGGTGGTGGTGGTGGTGGTGGTGGTGGGTGGTGGTGGTGGTGGTGGTGCGGCGCGGTGGTGGCGGGCGGATGGGCGCGCGAGAAAGAGGCCCGCGCTGGGGCGAGAACGCCATCCTGAACGACGGAGGCCAAACACGGATCCGAAAATGAGGCCCACGCTGCAGCGGGAGCACGATTCGGAACGATTCGGGAGCAGAAATGAGGCCGGCGCCTCAGCGAGAGCATCATTTCAGAAAAAAACGCAGGCGAAAACCCGTTTCCCGGGAATCCTGTGTAAAAAAACAGTACGCGGGGGGGGGTCGGATATCTTCGGGACGCCATCAGGGGAAGTGGGAGAGTATTTTCATATTGTGTAATTGTGGAGGGGGAGGGGGAGGGGGGGGGAGGGGGAGGGGAGGAGGAGGAGGAGGAGGAGGAGGAGGAGGAGGAGGAGGAGGAGGAGGATCAGGAGGAGGAGGAGGAGGAGGCATCCACTTGTGCAGCGCTCTCGACCCCACCTCTGTGCGATGTGTCTCGAGCCGACTCGACCCTGGAGGAGGGCGAGTGGGCTGATCCTCTCTTTCTCCTCCCTTCGACGCTCCAGGGCGGTCGCGGGCGCAGTCGCGGGCGCGGGCGCTGCCGCGGCGGGGCCCGCCCGGCCGAGACAGTTGGGGGCCACAGCGGCATGCCACCGACTCGCACCTCCTCGGGAGGACGAGCTCTCGCTCTGCTCGTGCTGGTCCTCCTGCTCCTGCGCCTCCTGCGCCTCCTGCTGCTCCTGTTGCTGTTCCTGTTGCTGCTCCTGCTACTCCTTCTCTTCCTCCTCCTGCTACTCCCGTCTCCTGCTGCGCCTTCTCTTCCTCCTCCTGCTGCTCCCCGATGCGGTGGCGGCCTTGAGGAGCTCCACGAAGCCGACCGACAAGGCATCCGCCAGCTGCCCAGGGCCGCCCTCGGGTCCGGGAGCTCTCGGGGAGGCACAGGTGGAGGGGTCCAGGGAGGCTTTAGTGCATTGGCGCAGCTTCCAGGACTACCCACAGCTGTCCATGGTTCGGGGATGGACAGACCCCCCTTTCGTAAAACGTGGTTTAGTGAAAGCGACCTGAGGCCCAAACCTGGCGGGCGCAAGCCTGGAAAATAACGGCCACGGCGCCATCTCGAGAACCGAGAACGGACAATTCACTAATCGACGTGTCACTGTTGGGAGTTCTGTCCACCCCCGAATGGTTTATGAAAGTGTCTCTTCTTCTCCACCTCTCAGATACCCCGGATTTGTGGACAGAATCCTAGCTCATGTGTGTGCGTGGCTGTTTTCCCGTCTTAAGTGAAGTGAGCAACAAGAAAAAACGAGTCTTACGCGAGATGGCATAGCGACCCTGCGCGATGGTTTGCGCAGGCCGCCAGCGCGGCACGCCAGATTGGAAACGAGGGCGCTTACGCGCGACCCTACTCAGGCAGCTTACACGCCAGTGCCGGTGAAGACGACACCGTTCTCTCCCGTCGCCCGAGTAGCGCAACCAGAAACGACCACAGGGGAGATCCAAGATGTCCGACGATACGCTTTTTGTTCACTCTGCGGCACCAGAATTCCAAACCCTTCCCCTGGGGTGTCAGGTTTTCGTGCCAGATTGAAGGGGCCCTGGGACACGCATTTAAATACACACACAACTAACAGGCTTCCCCATCTTGTCCCATATGTTCTTGGTTTTCGTCTTCCCCCCCACTTCCCGTAGTTTTCCATCTGTTCCTGGGGGCCGACGATTCGTCGTGTCTGCGTGTTTTTTTCCCTCCTGCCAGATCCGGTCTGGCAGTCCCGGGGCCAGATCGCGGGCCCCGGCAGCGGACACCGGGGGCAACCCGCCGGGCTCGACGCCAATCCGTCGTCGGAGATCTGGGAGAGACCACGGCGAGGTCCCGGCGAGGACGTGTTACATTCGGGGCGTTGACCTAAGGAACCCTAAACAAGGAACGAGGCCCCCTTTTTTCCATGAGTTAAACTTCGATGCCCGATCGAAAACATAAGGAAAACCTGAGGCAAGCTGCGAAACATTTAAGGAACACGGAGCCCCTCCCCAACGAGAAGGGTTCCTTCTTCAGGACCCCTACTGTATGATGCCACGGTGCGCAGGCGGAGGGAGGAGCCTGGCAAGTGCCTGCCTGCGACGTGCTCGCTGAAGGCAGACGACATCTCACTCCGGGCAACGCTTGTTCTGAAGGCAAGCGTTCATCACAGAATGCCAAGAATGCCTTCATGTCTTTCGCCTCCAGTTGGCAACCAGTTTCGCCATCAGTGTACCTCGCAGCATGCCCTCTCTGGTGCCGCAGATGCCCGCCCACTGCACACGAAAATGTCGGCCGAGTGCACCCTGAACGCGTGCTGGCGACAGGTTTTTGCTGCATGCTGGCTGGATGCATTTTTTGTGCCGGCGCATTATCGGAGAAGAGGGAGGGCGAGGCACTAATGCGTGCTAGATGCCTGGCACATGCACGCGCCGTGCGATTGCTTAAAGTGTGACTGTTGCGTGTCTTACGCCTGCAAGACATGCCGCCCTCATCTTCCTCCACGGGCCCTCCCTGGTTCTCTTTGTCCTCCTCGTCGTCCACCTCCTGAATCTCTCTCTCTCTCTCTATCTCCCCCGATCTCTCAATCTCTCACTCTCCCTATCTCTCTCTCTCTCACTATGTCTCGCATTCTCTCTCTCTCTGTCCCCCATCACTCCCTTCCCCTTCACTCGAAGCGAAAGCTCTCTGACTGCCGTGGGGCCGTCTGGGAAGGGGTGCACAACTTTCAACGATCGCCTTCCGTAGCTTGCGCTTCTGCAAGAATTTCTGGAGCCCGTTGCTGGAGACGTAATCGAACATCTGGCAATCGTTGGCCTTCGTTGATGTCCACGGGTAGTCCTGCACTGGCGGGGGAGAAGGAGAAACACGAGGATGACTGTAGCACACCAAACGTACAGCACCGGTGTTGCAATGTGCCCTGTCGTCTCACGTCCCATCATGCAGGTACTTCGGTCTTGCCTTTCACTGCGGCGGCCGTACGCTGGAGTGGTGAGAACCGCATGGGGCTGTCCTGGGCTCGGTCCTGGGAAGGCAAACAGCAAGACTACTGATAGCCCGGTGTCCCTGCGGCATGACCAGAGCCTGGGAAAGCTCGACGGGCGTCCAGCTGTGAGTATCCCTGCTGGCCTTTCGTCTTCATCGTGTCTCTTGTCGTCTGTCTCCCGTCCTCTTCCTTCCTGTCTCTTCCTTCCTGCCTCTTCCCTCCTGCCTCATGTCGTCTGCCTCTTCCTTCCTGCCTCTTGTCCCTCCAATCCTGTCGACTCCTCTGCCGTCTGCTTCGGGCCGTGTTGCCAAGGAGGCTGTCTGGGGGGGATAGGGCGGTCTGGATTGCCCCAGCATTGCCATGCGAGTGTGCACTGCCAGACGGCCAAGATGCCACGAGGCCCCAGGATACCTCACGATTCAGGTTCTTGTTGCATGATATGCCTGTTGCGTGCTTTCTTTCGAAAATTCCCAATACGCCGTGAATGCACTGGAATAACATGGGATGCGCGCTCCCGAAGCCGCGAACCCTCCTAACGTACGCTTGAAGCGCGCTCCCGATGCCACCATCTCTGATTAATTACTAGAGATGCGAGCAACCAGCAAGCCTGAAACCAGCCAACGCCAACTGCCAGCTACCCGTTCAAACAATATGCCGGTCAGCCGAGTTGCCAGCCAGCCAAGCGACAAACCAACAAACACTCCGATCGAACAAGGGTCGCCATGCAAGCAGTCAGAGGGGTGACAGTTGGCAGTAGCTGTAATCTACCACGACGGGGCTGCAACGAAGAGACGCCCTTCTCGTGCGACCGGGGCATATCGCCTAGGTTAGCCCGGGGTCGTTGCAAGGGAGGGCGGTCCGTCACGCAGCTGCCAAAGATGCTATGACTTCGCATGTGGGATGAACGGTAGTACAGGGCAGTTTTTAATCCATGTTTTTTATGTATAGGATTTTTAATACATGCTTACTTTATGAAAAAATTTGGTGCATGAGCTCATCGTTGTATTTAAAACTAACTCCCTGCATCTTTAATACATGATCCGCTCGCGGAGCATGTATTAAAAACGGCACTGTAGTGGGGGACACGGGCGAAACGCAGTGCGAACATTCGGACGGATGATTCTGGCCGGAGTCCTGAGGAGGGAGGAGGGAGCAGGGAGCAGGGAGGAGGGAGGAGGGAGGGGGGGACGGCGGGGCACGCGATCAGGACTGGGTCCCCTCCGGGGGCGGGCCTCTGCCCTCGCGGCCGCAGCTGCTGCTGCGCCGCCGCCGTCATGTCTCGTCTCCTCCTCCTCTCTCCCCCCCTTCCTCCTCCTGCTGCTCCCCCCTGTCGTTCCCTCCTCTCCTCCGCCCCCTCCTCGTCCCCACTCCGATGGAGATGCTGAGGCCCAGGGAATGGGATGACGCTTTTACGGCTCTCATGCCCCTGTATGCCCCGATTCGCAGGACACCCAACAATCTAGTGATCCATGGCCCTGTCGAGGCTCCTTCCATCGCCAAAGTTGGAGTGAACCAGCTCCGCGAAGCCGCACGCAGTGGGCAACGTGATTGCGTCGGGAAAACAATGCGGCCTTCTTGGGAATCAGGCGTGCAAAGGTAGGCAGGAACATGACGCCATAGCTCACCACGCTCGGGAGCATTTTCTGATGATTGGACACGGCCGCTCGATGCGGCGAGGGCGCTAAGGCTGACTGCGGACCTCGTGCGAGCCGCTCTGCAAGCGGAGCCGTCCAGCTGTCGAGGGAGACCGCGGGGCCAAAACGCATGCCGAGCAGATATCGAGCTTTGGGCGATGGCAAACGAACCCTGTGGTGGCAACTCGTGGGGGCCTCCAATACCATCTTGTCTGCTCTTGCGAATCGACGCCAGTCGACGCTAAGTCGACGCTAATCGACACTAAATCGATGCTAATCGACTCAAGCCGACGCTAAATCGGCGCTATCTCATCGACTCCGAGACGATAATCGATTTGCCACCGAAGAGCTCCACGCGAGCAGATGGCCGCAAACTCCGCGCAGCATGGTTTGGCAAGGCGGTAGATCTTGCACTTCGTGGCAGTCAGCGCCGCGGCCGCGATCGCCCCACGGCGCGAAGCGCCCGGCGGAGAATGCGAAGAACGGATATGTGTGATTGTCCTCGCCTCCATACGCAGCGCAAACTCTCGCGGCTGCGACCTGTCTCTGGTTGCATCCGCGGTCGATGCGCGTTCTCAGTGCGTCCTCGGTGTGGAAATTCCCTGGATACCCCAGCCCCCCCCTGAAAATCACAGACAACCTCCCCAAGGGAAGCTTTTCGGTAGGTTGCCTCCCCGGATCCGGGGGAGGGGGACTCGGGGGGTTTTAGGGGGGGGGGAGTCTGGGGCCCCACACTTAAAAGCAATACATTGTTTGAGCGCCCCCTCAGTCCCCCGATAAACACCCGAATGTACAGCCGGGTGTTCTTTGGAGTGTTTCTGGGATCGACCAGACAAAACCCTCCAAACCGAAATTCGGACAACTCGTCCCTGTCGTACGAACGGCTAGAATTCGAAAGGCTCGTCCTTGTCATACGAAAGGCTCACGAAATCTTAAGAACAGGCAGCTTTTATGAGGTGGTAATCCAGGCTGATTCGGCTAGGGCTACGCGAGGAGGATCTACTACAGCAGCGTCTCAGAGCTAATGGGATAACATATCGACGCCGAGCGATGCCACGGTGAAGGAGACGCTCGACCAGCTGATGGAGGAAGCTAAGAGCCTCATGAGGCTCTCTTGGCCACGCCCAGGAGCTACAAGGACGTACCTGGCGCGAAGATTGGCGGAGTTAAGGCCAGGGTCGCGCCGAGCATCCTGGCGGGCCTTTACAAGCACAGACGTTCGGCAAAGTCGGAGATCGCACAGTGGTTGAAGGAAAAAGCGTTGACGAAGTGCTCCATCGCCAGCGAGTTCAACATACTGGCGGCCGTCCCAGACAGGATGATGATGAGCGGAGTCAGATGCGTTTGTCCACTGGCAGGCCTCGGAGCTCACGTGCATAAGATATTCAAGGCTTACCAGGGCGTGGAGGCGGAGAGTGATTGGAAGCGCCCCAAGAATATGAATGGGGGCAAGTGGAAGAGCAGAGTTAACTGGAGATGCGGCGAGGAATTCCTGAAGATTGGGGATGGGTCGCGCGCGTCCGTCGAGGCGGCGGACGATGAGGTGGCAGAGCGTCTGAGGGCTGCGATCGCCAAACACTTGAATGCTGTCGGCGATATGGGTTGCGGCCGAAGGTCCCACGGCAACCCTCCTTCACGCCAGCGCAGTAGGCGCCAGTCCGTGCAACTTTGCACTCTTGGGGCTTCGGAGGTGCAGGTCTGCTTCGAAGGGACCGACTGTGCTCGCCATCTACATGTACGCGGTGTTGATTCCGATCGGTTGGCCCTTCGCTGCTAAATACCAGCGCCGAACGATTCTGGCGAGACAGTGTTTACTCCAGATTTCGTAATAAAAGGGAGGGGGTCTGGACCCTCCAAGACAAGCCATTTCAGACCTCCCCCGTGGGAGAACCCTCCAAAACATCGTCCCCAGACCCCCCCAGGCCCTCCAAGATAGCCTGGAAGAGACCCCCCCCGAAATGAGACCCACTCCCTTTTATTACGAAATCTGGAGTATCATCGGGATGACGTCGAGATGCTCCTCGGGCTCGAAGTTTAAAAGTCAGACGAGAAGGAGAGGGATCCCCTGCGATGCCTTCCGTGCCCGACCTTTGGAGCCGTCTGCGACAGCCACCACAATAAAGGGGCCCCAGGACACACAAATAAATACACACAAATAAAAAGATTCCCCATATTTTCCTATATGTTCTGGGTTTTTGTCTTCCCCCCATTTCCCATACTTTCCCATATTTTCTGGGGAATCGACGATTAATTGTGTCTGTATTTTTTTCCTCCTGACACAAATTCTTCTGGGAGGTGCCCTTCCAGGAGTCGGACGGGAAGGAGCTGAGGGTGGCCTGGCGAAGGCTGGAGCGACCTCCAGCAATCACCAGGTGCTCGGCGAAGGGGAACGTGAAGGTCGACGAGGAGCTCCGCCTGAAGGCTACCTACGCCACCTGGAGAAGGGCCACGCCGAGCCAGATCCTGATCGCGCGGGGCCTGTGGGGGAAACTTGCCACGAGATCGAGCTGCGGAAACATCACTGATGGCCGGGCGGCTATCAGCCGTCTGAGAGGTGGGCTGAGCGGCTACGAGAGGAGGAACGTGAAGGAGCGGGGGCCTGTGCGACATGGTGGCGGAGGAGGTGTCGGCGTCAGCTGCAAGGACGAAGGGGCTCAGGGTAGCGGATCGTTCGCCGAAGGCCCTGCCGTGCCTGCTCGACGAGGACGCTGGGTGACGCCCGACGAGGTCGACTGGGTGAAGTGCGAGACCACGTCGAACTTCACCGACGCGGGCTGGAAGAAGAGCTCCAACAGGAAGAAGCTGGGGCTCAAGCTGTGGCAAGCGAGAGTGCTGGTGTACACTACGGAGGTGAAGGAGAAGGTTGGGATGTCCACAGTGGTGAAGTCGATGGTGGAGTGATCTACTACCGAGGTCTCGAAGTCGTTATTGGTGTGGGACTGCTGTCGGCTCAACTTGCGATTGAAATGCCGCCGTGGACGGGGCTTGGGCAACCGGGTGCCCTGGCGGCGGTAGACCTGTCACATCAGGCGATGAAGGATCAGGACCTGTTGAATTTCTCGGGGGACATACCCGACTGGTTTCCCCGTTGAAGGTGGCCGAAGCTACTGGTCGAGTACTGTGTGCTGGAGCTGCTGACGCCGATGGAGATGTACTCCAGATTTCGAAATAAAAGGGAGGGGGTCTGGACCCTCCAAGACAAGCCATTTCAGACCTCCCCCGTGGGAGAACCCTCCAAAACATCGTCCCCAGACCCCCCCAGGCCCTCCAAGATAGCCTGGAAGAGACCCCCCCCCCCGAAATGAGACCCCACTCCCTTTTATTACGAAATCTGGAGTGTGCGGTGGAGCTGGGGGTGGACGACCCGAGACCCCTCAACGACAACGCGGGGACAGAGGCGATCTCGCGCCCGTCCTGGGGCCACTCGTGGGCGGCAATCCTTACACACTCTCTTGCCTGTCGGACTCGCTGCAGGGGACCAGCCCGTTCGGGTCAGCGCAGCTCGCCTACGGCATGGGGGGCCCGTCGTTCGCGAAGTACGACCTGCTGTCCCATATTGTACATCGACGACTAGCTGGGCCTCAGGCTGTATGAGAAAGGGGGCCGCTGACGCTTTGAAAGACTACTGGGTCAGGCGATCCACACGGCCGCCCTCGCTGGAGAAAGGACTGTCTGTCACGCGTCGCAATAGCTGCGATCGCGCGCTGATTTGTATTCCTAGGCTTGCGCCTGCCCATCGGACCCCCCTGAGCTCCTGGCTCAGGTGGCCCCCGTACGGCCTGAGATAAACGTGCCGCTCTCTGCCGCGACGCAAGGAACACCCATGGCCCAAGGTGCCCCCAGAACTTTCCCGAGGAAGCCCCCGCAACCTCCCGAGCACCCCTCACGGGGCCCAGCGGGCCCCCGGGGGGCTCCAGAGTGGAGCGAATGGCCTGGGGCACCTCGGGCCATGAGCACCTCGAAGCAACCCCCCCATGGATGCCGCGGGCGCGCCGTCCTCGGGCCCGCTCCGGGTGCACCCCGGCGGAGCGTTGTGCCCAGGGCCCGGCCGCGAGCCGACATCTGCGCAGCCGCGGGCGCCCCGCGACTGGGGACCTTCGGCACCGACGCGATGGCCCCGCCCTTGCTCAGAACATTCAGTGACGGAGAAGGCGGGCCCACAAGACGAGCTGGCGTAGCGCAATACATCGGGTATACATCAAGATCGCAGCGGCGGGCGTCCTGAGCTGCAGCAGCCCGAAACCCACGCAGCACTGCCTGCAGATAGCGCTGTTTCGCAGCCCGCGCTTGTGAGGCCATCAAGGAATACAGCCGTCGCACGCCAAGTTGAGAAGAACAGATCTGCATCAGGCGTCCCGCCTGCAAGCTCAACACACGAGTTGGATGTACATATGAGCAAGACCTGGAGCCATGCCTGCAGGTGCGCGAACACCAGAAATAGCAACCATGACCCCAGGCTCGGTGTGGGGAGGGGACCATACATACCGAGGGAGACGATGTCGGCCCCCATCCGCTCACTACCTGGGGGGCTCTCGGCGGCATCCAGGGTAACGCACGTGCGTTGCTTCCACCCCGCAGAAATGTCAGGGCAACAGCAAGCAACTTCGCTAGCACAGACGACGGAAGCGGTCTTGCCCTCCAACTTGGTGGCCAGCTCGCAGCGAATCTGGCAGGTGTTCCTGTCCTCGGAGACGAACGCGCCGGCGTGCTCCCCAGTGGCGGTTGCGGCGCGCGCGACGGAACGACCTATCGGCCTGATGGGTCACCCTGGCAGCCCAGCCCGAGGTCCCACGGGCTCGGACGACGGACCGCCTGCTGGCGGGAGCAGCCGCCGAGCACTCGCAGCCGTTATCTAGACCTGTTTGCTCGAGCCAGGGCGCAGCTGCCTAGTGAGCGGGATCTTCCTTGACCGATGTGGCAGCCCGAATAACGATGATGGATAGGTCGGGAGTCCTGCCGAAATAGCTGAACGTCGCCGTCGCAAGGGGCGGCGGGTCCGATTACTCCACGATGCGCCATTCGATCCACTCGATCTTCCTCGTCATGATGTCCTCGTGACGCTGTAATGTAACTTGGCCATGCCGTCGTGCATGGAACGCATGCCTGCTACGATCTGGGTCTTCGTGTGAAGAGCATGCTGCCGACTCTGAGTATCGTGCTCGGGCGTAGTGTTTAGGGAAGTCCTGAGCAGGGGGAAATCTGGCCGTCGGCTTCCTCTGGTAGTGCAGCTGCCTCATCTGCGGCGGCTGCAAATGCACCAGCCTGAATTTGCCACGCCCTCCATCTGCTCGAGCGCGCTTAGGCGACGCGGCTGGCAGAGGTGAGCAACTGTTAGTATCGCGGCTCGATCCTGGCATGCGAGCGGCGGTCGGAAAATGTGAGCGGCCGAGAAGAAGCACCTGCGGACGTATCTCTTGCGGTCTTCACCAAGCGCTGCGGAAATTGTCGACGCTGTTGCCCTTTGGGCGCAGGGTGTCCGCACACGGTGACACCTTCTTCATTCCTTCTCCCTTCTTCATTCCTTCTCTTCTCCCCCCGCCTCCTTCTCCTCCTTCTCCTCCTCCTCCTCCTCCTCCTCCTCCTCCTCCTCCTCCTCCTCCTACTCCATCCCCTCATCCTCCTTCCTCCTCCTCGTCCTGGTCCTGGTCCTCGTCCTCGTCCTCGTCCTCCTCCTCCCTCCTCCCTCCTCCCTCCTCCTTCCTCCCTCCTCCCTCCTCCCTCCTCCCTCCTCCTCCTCCTCCTCCTCCTCCTCCTTCTCCTCCTCCTCCTCCTCCTCCTCCCCCCCGCCCCCAAATTTCCTCCTCCTCCTCCTCCTCCGCCCCCTCCCCCTCCGCGCAAAGCTCTTCCTTTTCAAGGCGCCCGTCGCTAGTCAGGCATGCTCCGAGAGCGCGGGGTGTAGCTAGCCGAAGAGCGCGGCGGCGCGGCCAGTAGAGCCCCCCGCTCCCCACCCTGCGCCGGGCAGGGCGGGGGCTGGGGCGTGCGAAGGAGGGAGGAGGATTCGGGAGCTTCCAAGCTAAAGGGGCCCTGGGACACGCAAACAAATACACACGAAATAACAGGATCCCCCATCGTTTCGCATATGTTCTTAGTTTTTGTCTTCCCCCCCCCCCACCGTTTCCTATATTTTCGAATATTTTCCGGGGAATCGACGATTACTTGTGCCTGTGTGTGTTTTTTCCCCTCCTGACAAGCGGGGGGCCCCCAAAGGGGGGGGAGGGGGCGCAAATCATGGCCGGCGGCGCGTGCGAGGGGGCGGGGGGGGCCTGGGGCGCATCGAAATAAGAGGGGGCGCCGTGAGATGCGGGGAGATATCATGGCCCCCGCTACGACATCCCTCCCTTGGTCATCACCCCAATTCTTGGCCGCTCCCGAAGGATTGAAGGGGCCCAGGGCCACAGAAATAAATACACACACAAATAATAGGATTCCCCATGTTTGCTCGTATGTTTTGGGTTTTTGTCTTCCTCCCCACTTCCCATATTTTCCTATATTTTCTGGGGGATCGACGATGAATTGTGTCTGTGTGTTTCGTTTCCTCCTGAATCATGGCCCCCGCCACGACATTCCTCCCTTGGTCATCACCCCAGTTCTTGGCCGCCCCCGAAGGATGGCAGGAGGAGGACGACGACGAAGAATCGAGGCAAAGGACACTAAGAGGAGATGGGGGCGTGCCACAGACGCTGCTCAGGGCGTCCGGGGCGTTCGCTCTGTGTCGCCCATGCCGCGGCCTGCTGGACTGCGGGGAAACTGCGGGGCAGGCAACTTGTCTCGCATATCCGCAACCGTGCCGCGGGCACAGGATGTGGTATCCCCAGTACCGGGTGTTGCTAGAAATGCCCCTGGCCCAAGGTTCCCCCAGGATTTCCAAGGAGGCCCCCACGGCCTCCTGAGCACCCTTCACGAAGCCCACGGGGCCCGATGGGCGCCAGAATGGAGCAAAAAACTGGGGATACCTTGGGCCGAGGGCGCTTGTAGCACCCCCGACATTTAGGAGCAGAGATACCACCCTCAGGATAAGCACCCCGACAAGCAAAGGCGTTCAACAAACGCACCCAGGAAAATAATCGGGCAAGGCTTTTTTCTTGTCACGATCACATGCTCAACCATGGCCTCGTGCAGGTGTGAGCGCGGATTCGTCACGAGCGCGGCTTTTCGCCTGCGCGGCAGCGCAGGTCCCCGAGACTCTTATACGGACAGTGGGACGGGCCGACAAAGAAAACCGGGGCAGGCAAGGGACAAAACAAAAAAGGGCAAGAGAGCGAGGAGCCGAGGAGCGAGCAAAGAAGGGTGAGAGGGAGGGAGGACGACGGCAAAGGACAGACCGGGCCGACAGACGGAGGGACGGGGAGACGGGGGGGGGCATGCTGAGGGAAGAGGGAGGGAGAGCGCGCATCGAACAAGGGCAAAGGACAGCCATATAGAGAGGGAGAAGGGGATGGGGAGAGAGGGAGAGCCGAGAGCGGAGGAGGAGCCGAGAGCCGGGCCGAGGCAAGAAAGGAGGCGGGCCGAGGTGCGCCGGCGCGCCAGCGCATCAGGAACCATGCAGAGGGCATATAAGAACATAACAAGACATACGCACGGCAAAACACTCATCGGCGGTGGACAAACCTCCCCTTAGCAAACCTCCCCTAAGTGGAAACGGCCTGGGACCGAAACCGACGGACCTGGACCCGCAAAAATGACGGCCGCGACGCCCTCTCGCGAACCGAAAACGGCCTATTCCTTAATCGACGTGTCAGGGTAGGAGGTCTATCCACATCCGAACTCATATGCTTACACCACGCCTTCCGGCTCAGGCGCCCCTCATCCACTGATGACAGGAGGCGTGGTCGGAGGCGCCAGCCTCCTCAGGGCCGCCCGCGCGCTCTCCCTTTGCAAGGTGCGCGATTTGCGCTGGGCGATCGGGAGTTAGGTCGGCTCGTGTCCCTCGCGCCATGCCGCCGACTGGGCCTTCGCGAACCTGGAGGACGCCGCGGGCCAAGGGGCTCCAGCCACCACCGTGAGACTCCAGGGTCACGGGCGTGAACTCGAATCCGGCGGTCGAACGCTCATTGTCCGCGTCCTTGAACGAGCGCTTGGAGTGCCCGTGAGCTGTGATGGCCGCCCCGCCGGCTACGGCAGACCTCTCCAGGAAGTCGCCGCGAAGCCCCGGAGTGCATGCGAAGTGGAGAGCCTCGCCCGAAGCAGCCAGGTGTCCGCAGGCCTGCGCAGGCTCTCTGCGAAACCACTGCCGCCTTCGGGCCTGGCCGGCGAGGGGTCCGCCTCCTCTCGCGCGGCCGCGCGCCCCGCCAGGGGGGCTTCTTCGAAAACCACGTCTGGAATGGCACTGGGCCGCGCGGCGCGGCCCCCCTTGCAGCGGCACGCCGATGCGGGATCTCCGAAGGAATCGAGCACTTCTCCACGGCAGGGGCGGCAAACGCGCGTTGGCGCCACGCGCGGCCGCAAGCGCCTCCAGGGAGCGACCTTCAACAGCGCGAATTCGATTTACCTCCCTTCGTCGACGGTGGGGCTGTCAGCCAAGCCCCAGCCCCTGGCGGCGAGACCATGGAGAGGTGGGCGAGGTGCAGACATTCCGCCGCTTCCGTCGCCCTGAGCGCGGCCTTGAGCCGTCAATCTGGGCCGATAAGTCCTTCTGCTTGACGGCGCCCTCCGGCACGGTCAGGAAGCCGCTTCCAAGCAGCCCCTCTTCAGGGCAGCGCGCGTCGCCGCGAAGTGCCCCCCGCCAATGTTGGCGGCGAAGCCAGGGCCGATGCGCTCGCACAGGCTTCGGCAGGACCACGCAGACGAGACATGGGCAGCAGGGGCGCGCAGCGCCGCGCCCCGGAGCCCAGGGCCACCGCCCAGGATGCCCAGCTGTGCCTGCATCCAAGCGTGGTCAGGGAGTTCCGCCTCCGCCAGCACCTCCAAGCTACTGCGGGGGTCCAGGGGTCCAGGGACCAGCCTAGCCGAGTGCGCGAGCTTACAGAAGCTCGCGCAGGCCCGCATCAGGAGCAGCCCCTCCTGGCAGTGCTCCACGTCCTGCACCTGGGCAAGCAGATCGGCCGCCTGCCCCCCCCGCTCGATCGCGCGCGACGTGCAGAGGGAATCCGTGCCGAAGGCCGCGCCCAACAGCTTAAAATTGCCGTCCGCGTGCCGCGCGAAACCTGGGAACGCCTCGCTGCGCAACGGGTGGTCGCGAGCGGCTGGAACGACCTCGCACGTCGACGGAATCAACTCCAAGCCAATCCGGCCAGGAGGCGTTTGAGCTGGCTGCAGAATTCCGACGCGGTCCGGGCTGTCCCGCCCGTCGCACCACTCGTCCAAGTAGTAGAACGCGCGCAGCTCTAGTTCGCCCGGGAATAACTAAAAAGTCCACTGCCGCTCGGGAAGCCAGGACACGTTCATGGATTGCGAAACTGAAGAGCGCCGGGCCCTAGGGGTCACCCTGCTGAACGCCTCTGGCGCTCTGGAGCCGCTCGCCCACCCGACCGCAGCATGCTGCTGCTTCTGTAGCACAAGTCCGCCCACGGTGCCCAAGGTGGGCGCCATCTCCGGGTCGCGGCCAACACTGCTGACCTGTCGACTGCGTCGACTGCGCTGCTGAGGTCGAGCGCGACGAGGCTCAGAGCAGGTCGGGTTGCGCGACAACCAAGCCCGAACGGTGTCAACGATGGCCTCGCACCCCAGCTTGGCGCCGACGCCAAGGTGGGAGGCGCCGAACACCTCGACCAGATCTTCTTTCGCCCACGATGCGGCAGATCGTCGTGCCGGCTGCCACTGGTCGGTGGCACCCTTCGGGCTTAGGTGAAGCCGACAAGGCGGCGCAGGAGCGCCAGGGCTGAATGCTCCGAGGGGCTTCGCCTCGAGCAAGAACGTTCGCCACGACTGCGAGCGGCCGTTGCACCTCGTCCTTCCGCCCTGGCACCAAGGCCTCTTTGATATGCTGCGGGCGGAGTCCCGACGGGCCCCCCGCGGCGCCGCGCGAGAAGCTCCGAACGTTTTTGCCCACCGTGCCATCATCTACCTGAGCTGCCGCTGCTGCGTGGATGGGCCTCGGGAGTGCTATCTTCGCAGCGTCGCTATCCCGAGCCTGCGGGCGCTCATCTCGCATCCCCTACACGATGGCGGGCGTCACCTTGGCAGGGGGCTGCTTGGCGATGGCGCTGCAGGCGTTCTGCATCAGAGACTCCCTCAGCAACTCCACCGCTTTTGCTTCTTTTTGCTCCCTCGTGCGTTCGCTTGCACTCCCGGCGCCCGCCCCCCTCCGAGCTGACCGCCACAGCGAACCCGTGCCCCTCCGGCCAAGCGCGGCATAATTTCTGGTCTCGCTTTCGCGTTTCTTCCGGTTCTTCTTCCCTCCCCGCAGGGCTGTTCGCACGACGGCCGTCAAGAGCATCAGGAGCTCCAGCCAAGCCCATTCGTCCCCCTGCTGGGCCACCTCGGGTAAAGTTCTCGCCAGGCACTATCCCCAAAACTTGCGGGCGCTGATGGGCACGTGTTTTTTTCGTCAAGGTCAGCGCTTCGAAAATAATATTGATGGATGGGAAGCCCTCTGGAATGGCACGCCCGCTGATGCGTGCCCGCGTGGCCGCCATGAGCTCGGGGCGGCATCTTGGGCAAGCCCGCCCGAATCATCGCGCCAACAGTTTGCTGCAGACCTCGCACTGCGTCAGGCCGTGGCTGGACAGGAACTCCGATGGGATGTCGCCCTGAAGCCGGCCAAATGCGTGCTGGTGCAAGTGAGGCCGCATGGCCGCCAACGAAAGCCAGCCTGGCGAAGATACCGGGACCGCACGCGGGCAACCTGGTACTGGGCAGTAGTGCCTCCGCGCCGCTGGCATCGCCTCGTCGAAGTCCAACCTGCGAGCGCCGCGCCGCAGCTCCTCCACCGCGTCACCAGGCTGCTGACCCAGACCCCGGGAGAAACCGACCCCGCCCTGCCCCCGGCACCGGCCACGCCAGCCCCATCCGCGCGGCGGTCCAGTGGGGGCGACGATGCGCCGCGTTCCCGGCTGCGGCTCTGCTGTCGTGCAGCTCGCTCGCCTCCCAGAGGCGTGCCAGGCGCCGCAGGACCAGGGTGGGGAGCCTCCACCACTTGTTTTCCTCGATGTCCCCATGTGAAATCCCGCGGGGACAGGCCAGGCGTGATCATGAAGGCCGTCAGCCCCCCCCCTGCACGACAAAGCCAAGAACCAGACTAGCTCTGGCCAGGTGTTCCCAACCATAGACGCTCATGCACGAACGTGGTATGGATATACGGACCGTCATCCCCTGCACGACGAAGCTGATTGCCAAGACCCCCGTCCCAACGAAAGCCAGACTAGACAGCAGCATGCAGAGGCCCCATCCCCGAGCGGAGACAGTCCACGGTGAATCCTCCCAGAAGAAAGTCTGTGCGTCATGGAGCAATGGCCCCTCTTGGTCTTCCCACTTGTCTTGCAGAACAACGAGCATGCCCCGATGGAAAGCCTCAGGCCCAGGGCACCACGTCGTCACCGAGGGGCTTCTGACGTCAGCATCGCCGTTCAGGAACGGAGCACGATAATACTGACGAGCCTGGGCATGATCGCGGACTTGCTCCCGGCGCTGTGCCCGAAGCAGTCGCCGGCAGACTCAGCCCCGCTGCAGACCCACAACGTTTTCGGGTACAGGCCGCCCTGCCTTGTAAAGAGCAGCCCCAGGACTGCGACAGCCAAGACGATCCAGCGAACATGTCCACAAGATCCCCTGGGGCTCGGCGCCATGGCGGGCTTCCCCCGCCCGCACGCGCGCACGATGAGGCGACAGACAGCTTAGGCAAAAGAGACTCCGGGCGGCGAGCCAAGATGTCTTGAGCCACCCTTGAGCCAGCGCTGTTTCGAGAACGCCGAAGCGCCGTTGACGGCAACACCACACCGCTCACCTTCCGGATCTTCGCCTCCGGCTCCTGTCCAAGGCGTTCCTTTTCCTGTGCAAGCTCCTCGGCACCGTCTGCACACCCGCCCGCCCTCCGGCCGCCTGAGGCCCCGCCCGCCTGTGCTCTGTCTCCCCAGTTTATAGTTTTGCGCAGCCCGCCTAGCTTTTGACCGGAAGAGGTTCGCTCTCGCCCCGCAGACCCAAACCATTGCCCCACGTCCCTCCGAGCCTGCGCTCCCGCACCCTTGCAGATGCGGCGCCGAGGCCACGGCTGCCCCAGGCCTCCTGGGCTGCTGGGCGCTTCCGGGCGCGCTCGCGCGCTCCCCCCGCGAACGCTCCGCGTCGCCGCTCCTGAGGCTTCGGGCGCGTGGCCCGGAAGCCAGGCCCCCAGGCATACCCTCCAACGGCCCCCCCCCCCGAAGAAGACCCGACGAGTCCTCCAAGAGGCCTCGAAGGTTTTTGTTTTATCATCCAGTTCCTCAGGTTTGCTCAAATGCGTACCGAATGCATGCTGTCGTGTCCAAGCCTGCCGTCGTAACCAAGAATATCCGCACTGCATGACAATGATGGCCGGTGGTTCCTGTAGTCTATGCAATGCCGTTTGGCTTTCAACCAAGAGGCCTCGAAGAGGCCCTCAAAACACTCCCAAGAGGCCCCCGAGAAACCTCCACGACTCGAACACGGTGGCGGGATGGACCGAAGGCCACTGCATTATCCGCCGCCCCCTGCTTGCAGGGGTGCACGGCGTGCTGGATGTTTCAGGTTTTGGTTTTGGTTCTTTTTCTAAAAGAACTCTCCAGTGGGCTCCGGCCCGTCCCGCCACCGTGCCCAAAAACTGCCGTTTCGCTCGGGACATCCTCAAAAAATCGCGAAGATGGCCCAAGATGGCCTCCAAGTCCGCCCGAGATGGTCCAAGACGGCCTCCAAAACGGCCCAAGAGAGTCCAAGACGGCCCAAGACGGCCCAAGAGGCCCCCCAGAGGCCTCCCAGACGGCCCAAGAGGCCTCCAAGAGGTCCTCCAGGAGAGTCCGAAGAGGCCAAAATCATTGATTTTCCCTTGGTTTTTGAAGGATTTTGGCATTTGCGCCTTTTCGGCTCTCCGACGGCTCAAGACGGCCCAAGAAGCCCCCAAGATCGCCCAAGAGGCCCCCAAGAGAGCCCCCTGATGGCCCAAGTGGCCTCCAAGAGGGCCCCAAGAGGGCCTCCAACACGCCCAAGATGGCCTCCAAGACGCCCAAGATGGCCTCCAAGACGGCCCTGGAGCGCCCCAAGAGGGTCCCCCGTTGGCCCAGAAAGGCCCCCAAAACGGCTCCCGACGGCGTCAGACGTGCCAGGAACCCACCAAGATGGCCGAAGTTGGCTCGAAGCTGGCCCAAAAGGGCCCAAGAGGCCCCCAAGAGGGCCTCCAGGAAGGCCAAAAGATGCCAAAATCACTGATTTTCCCAAGGTTTTTGATGGATTTGGGCATTTCCCTTCTTTCGGCCTTCCGACGGCCCGAGACGGCCCAAGAGCCCCCAAAGATCGCCGAAAGATCGCCCAAGAGGCCTCCAAGACGGCGACGATGACCATCAAGACGCCCACGTGTTCCCCGAAGGCTTTCCAAACCGATTCGGGGAACACATGGTCCGATGGCTTGGCAGGTCTGGCCTCAACGTTCGGCCACATAGGCGCTTCCACAAAGGCGGGGGGCGGCGGTGATTCGCCGTAGGCGTCTTCGATTACGGCAACCAGGATGCGCTAAGCCAGGCGGGACGCGCCGACAGCCTGAGCGAGCACAGACCTCGGCCAGAACTCGTGCGGGCGGCACACAAAAGAATGGGCGGCTGCGCAGCAGCCTCGAGGCCTCGACGAGGGGGGGGGAAGGAGTGGGGACAGGCAGCGCGGGAACGGGTGGGCGAGCGGGAGGGGGGGAGCGGAAGGAGCCGGCTCAGCGGAAGTCGGCGACGTCGCCAGGCTCCTTGGCGTACTTGTAGTATGTGCCCGTGGGCTTCCCGGCGTCATCGTAGGGGCGACCGTAGTTCTGGAGCTTCTTGGCGTCTTCAGCCTGTATGGACTGGGGGTCAGAGTCCAGTTCCATCCTGTTTTCGGCCATGTTGAAAACGCTCCCGTTGATGATCTGACACCCGAAGTCCTTCTCAGCCCACGGCGCGAATCGCTCCTGCAGGCGCCAACACTTGTTCAAGAACTCGCGGTGCACGCTGTCGTAGACCACCCCATGCTCTTGGAGCTTCTGCATGATGTCTTCGATGGAAGTGCTCTCGGTCACATTCATCTCCGCCTTGCTCCCAAGCTCGAGCGCCTTCATCACGTATTCCAGTGGGAAGAAGCGGGCGTAGTGCCAGTGCCCGCCCTGTCTTGCCTGGTTGTAGTGGAAAGGTGTGAGAGGCATGTGGATGAACTGAAGGTGCAGCTGGTACATCGATGGCGGGAAATTCATACCACAACACGTAACATCCATGATTTCCTTCGTGCTCAGAGGTTTCTGCTCGCCGTTGAAGATCTTACTCCGGAACTCATCGTTGCCCCAAAACTGGTCCAATGCGACCTTTGCCCCTGTCTCGAACATATCTGTAACAAGTTTCAAACCCTTGGCAGGATTCAAGAGGAGAAACCGCCAGTCTGCTATATAAACATCGGTCGGCACGACGTTCAAATGACAGCACGACATCGACAGCGGGTCGTCGAAACACAAAAAGCTTGCGTCTTGGTGCCTCATAGATCCGCCACCTTGCCCCTAGGCACGAGATGGAATGTCCTGAGGTCCCTGAGAATCCTCTGTATGGAGTGTTGCAATACGCTTCAAGGAACCCGCAGCCCAGAGATCCAGGCGCTCATGGGCGTTTCTGGGGCTTGTCGCGTGGTTTCGCCAGGTTTTTCTCGAGGCAAGAAGGACCAACCACAGGCCAAGAGGAACCGAAGATGCCCCCAAGAGAAAGGATCCAATAGCGTCCCGAGATGGCTCAAGAGTGCTTCAAGACGCCCAGATGGCTCCAAGACGGCCTCGAATACGCCCCAAGAGGGCTCTAAGATGACGCCCAAGAGGGCCCCAAGAGGCGAAAACCAATACTTGGCTTCAATGTTTGACGGATTTTACCCATCTCGCCTTTTAGGGCATCCAACGCTCCAAAACGCGCCGAGCGGCCCCCGAGAACGCCCCAAGACGGCCCAAGCTCCAGGATGGCGCAGAGAGGGCGCCAAGACGATCCAAGAGGAGGCCAAAACAGGGAACACGAAATGACAAATCGAACCATCCGCCCCCAGACCCCCGAGACCGCCAGCAGGCCCCAACGATGTCCCCATGCAGCCCCAGGAGGCCCCAAGAAGGCCCAAAAAGGCCCCGAGAGGCTCCAAGACACCCCCAAACCGCCTCCAAGAGGCTTCCTAGAGGCCTCCAGTAGATCCCGATAGGCATTCTAAAGGCATCATATCTACAACGCAGGCGCAGTGGCGGGTGAGCCGAAGGCAACCAGATCCGCCGCCCAGTCTTTATTACAGGGTTGCTTGGAATGCTGAAGTTGTATGGTGTGTATGTTGCAGCGTTTGTTTACTCGTGTGTTGAGCTTTTCTTTAACGGTTCCCAATGGCCTTCGTCTTGACCCGCCGGAAAGTCAGAGAGGCAAGGTTCTTTCCGTCCAAACTTGCCCCAAGACTTCCCAGACAAGCAAGATGACACAATATGGCCTCCCAGACGGTCCCAAGAAAAAACCCAAGACAGCCCGAGATCCCCTCCAGACGGCCCACGAGGCCCCCCAAAACGCCTCGAGAGGGCCACAAGAGTAATTAACTCCGGGAGGCAGGACTGATTGGCTTCCCGATTGCGTGTTCGAACGATTTCAGCGTTCTCGTCCTTTTTGGAACTCCGACGCTCCGAGACGGCCCCACAGGACCCCAAGGGCGCCCCAAGAGGGCCCCAAGAGGGCGCCAAGGCCCACGAGACGGCCCCACAAATCTCCAAGACGGCCCCGAAGCGCCCAACGAGGGACCCACGACTGCACGGGGAGGCCCCGAAAGGCGGCCCCCGAGGGTCCAGAGGCACCTTAGGAGGCTCCCAGAGATTCCCACGAGGCCTCCAAGAGGCTCCACGAGGCCTCCAAGAGGCCCACAAGCGGCTGCCAGGAAGCCCCGATATGAGACCCCAGGAGGGCCTCAAGAGGCCTCATCGTCGTGGTCCGTCTCCTCCTCCTGATCACTCTGCTCCTCCATGTCCTTTCTCTCCCAAGTGTTCCCTCAAGGGCTTCCGCAACGGATGAGAGAGCACATCGTCCAATAGCTTGGCCAACACTTGGCTCAACGTGTGGCCACATGCACGTCTCTAAGAAGGCAAGAGGCGGCGGTGGCTCGCCGTGAGCGTCTTCGATATCTTGAACGGGAACTTCCCCATCTTGATACCATGTACAAAACCCATGAAAATGTTATCGTTAAATGACACCGGGACATCGGCTAAGCTAGACCCGCAAGCGTTGCAGCACTGCAGCGTGAAGGCGCACGGCTTCTTGCACTGCGCGCACACCTTCACCTTGTTCAGGAGTCTCGCCCGGGCCTTCTCGTCTTTCACGCCCTCTCGAAACTGGTCGATCGTGCCATCGAACCTTGGCTCCGTGTCCTCCGCGAGCCTGGGGACGACGGGGACGTCCCCCTTCGCCCTGGCCAGGTAGGCGGTTGTGCGCCCCGACCCTGGCGTCCGGAACTCGATGTGGACCCCTCCGCCCTCTTCTCGCACGCCCCCGTCGTCGGGGCCATTCCCCATCCCAGGGGCGGCAGACGCCCCCCCCCCCCGCCTCCTGGGAGGATACCGGCGCCTTGAGCCACCTCGTCCCGAGGACCAGGAGGCGGGGACGAGGACTAGTTTTTTTTTGGAGGGGGAGGCCTAGCTCGGTCCGGATAGAAATCTGGCCCGACACGGGCCCTGGCTCCCAGACCCGTCTGGCCGCCCGAACGGCGGGCCTGCCTCACGCCCAGAGGCTCCCGAAGGAGAGATGGGAGGGGGACAACAACAAGGACGAGCAGGAGCAGGGAGGGATGATGGCCGAGTGCGCCGGGGCGCGACTGGAAGCGGGGCGAAGGGAGAGAGAGAGAGCGAGAGCCCCCCCGCGATGGCCTGCCACCCTGCCAGGGAGGTTGGAGCGTCTGGGGGAGGAGGAGGAGGAGGAGGAGGAGGAGGAGGAGGAGGAGGAGGAGGAGGAGGAGGAGGAGGAGGGGGAGGAGTCATGGGCGGCGCCACGTCGCACGCTGGCTGTCCAACGCCAACCGCAGACTCAGCGCCGTGGGCTCACCGACCCGAGACGGGCCTCGGGAGGTGCTCGCTCCATCTTGGACGCAAGTTACCAGCCTCGAACGTATCCCTATCCCCAAGATTGACACGCCAAATGGCGATACCAATTTTAGGGATCCGCCCTCAAAACATAAGGAAATCCCTAAGGTTGACATCGTGATGAGGAGGTGCCCAGCATAGGGATAGGGATATGCTCCATCTTGGGCGCAAGGGCAGTCGCGAGAGCGCACAGTGCCGCAGAGCGCTCCTCGACCTCTCTCTCCGCCGGTCGCTCCACGGTGATCTCCCGCCCCCCCCCCCGGTACGTCGGGCCACTCCGAGAGGTCCGCGGAGAGAGGGGGGCACCAGCAGTGGAGAAGCCTGCCATGATCTTCTGCTGGGGTGCCCGTACCCTCTCGACGAAGGTTCACGCCCCTAATTAGGACCCTGATCGCCTCTTCCCTTCACCAAGGTCAGTCATCATCGACTCGGGAGAGCTGATCACATAGAAACGTGCGTCCGATCGGGCTGCATCGGCACGGAGTCGAGATCGAATAGGATCGGCCGCGCCAGGATGTACAACAGCGCCATGCAATCGTCGGACCGCATCGGATCGTCGGAATCTCGGAATCGTGTCGGATCGGGCCAGCCGACATCGATATCGAATCGGATCGATCGGATCGAAGTGTACAGTCGGGGCGTTGACGTAAGGAACCCTACATAAGAAACGAGGCCCCTTTTTTCCATACGTTAAAATTAGATTCCCCATCGAGAAACGAAAGAAAACCTCAGACAATCAAGGAACCCCTAGCCCCCAACGAAAAGAGTTCCTTCTGAAGCGCCCAGTCTGTACCCTGCTCCACGTCTGTGCTTCACCCTCTTTGGCGATCTCTCCGTCGTCCTCGCGCCGCCCGCTCCCAGGGAGGGGGGGGAGCGGGGGGGTCTGGCTCCGGACCTCTGCTTAGTGCGACTGTTTGCAACAGTCCGTCCTATGGGGGAGGGGCTCAACCTGCTCGAAACAGGCGCCAAAAACAGCCAAGATCTACTCCCAAGGGAGGGGGGAGGGGACGAGTGCGAGGGCCCGCGCCGACCGGCAAAACAACGAAGAAGAAAACGATCAGCTGCTATCCGCCCCTTCCTGTTTCCCCCCCCACCCCTGCTCTCCCCGGTCGCTCACGCGCGACACTTCCGCGGGCCCCGTGCTCCCCCCAACGCCAGGGGAGGCGGAAAGCAGCGAGAAACTCCCTCCCTGCTCCTTTTCTGACGTTGGCCATACTATAAGCGAGGCTCGCAGCGTTCTCCCCCCTGCTCCTCCTCCTCCTCCTCCTCCTCCTTCTCCTCCTCCTCTCCCATCTCCCTCCCGACTCTTGACCCATAATGCGTCAGGTTCCTTCCCTGAAGGCGCGGGCTCAGGACACAGATCCAGGACTCTGTCACGCGCGAACCCTTCACGATTCAACGACATCAGCCGTGGAATTTCAATCTTGCGCATCCACGCCCACGCTGCCGCGGCGCCGAAACGGCAAGAGCTCACGTTCGTGGGAAAACAGGATGAGGAGGTCGAGGAGTACCCATCGGTCGGAAGTAGGTAGGAGCATGAAGTAGGCAGGCGGTGAAAAATTATTAGGCTTCCGCACGCCCCCTGAAGACGGAAACGGTGAAGCCACTCGATCATTGAAGTAGGAAGGCGCTTAAAGTAGACTACAATCTGGGAATCCAAAAGTACCTACGTTCAACGACCGATGGGTATGAAGAGCGGAGGGAAGCGGATGAGGAGGATGAGGAAAAGACTCCCCCCCCTCGCCCCTCTTCCTCGCCCGAGCCCGCCCAGCAGCAACTCAACACCGATCCCCGAACCCCTCCCAAGATCTATCCTGGAAGTGGCCCAGGGACACGCACGCATAAATACACACACACCTCCCAGGATTTCCAATATTTTTTCATACATTCTGGGTTTTCGTCTCCCCCCCACTTCCCATAGTTTCCCATGCTTTCCCGCGGATCGACGATCAATTGTGTCTGTTTTTTTGCTCCCACCCTGAACCCTGGCAACCCAAAAGCGATTCACTCCCCCCGGTGCCCGAAAACGGGCCTCCAGATGCCGAACATGGCAAAGCAGGTCTTCTACCCTCGCACTTTCCCAGACGTCCGACGTCGTACCTGTTTCCCTGCGTGGTTTCCCAAAAAGGCCTGGACCTCTTCCAGGGGACCAGCCTTCATCTCGAGCCATTTTTCGACGGTCGCAGGGCCCGGAGGCCGAACACAGCCGAACGCGTCTGCCACCAAAGGCGGCTACATTCGCGCCAACCCCCCGGGAGAGAAGAGGAGGACGAAATGGGTGGACACGAAGAGCCGCCGCGCATCGCGAGCCGTGCATAACCAGGTGCGTTCGTGGCGGCCCTCGTTTCACGACGCGGGCCGGTCTGGCTTTTTTTGGCCACAGCTCGGGCCTCCAGCGGCCGTAGCTCGGGCCTCCAGGCAGCCCCAGGGCGCCCTCGGCGAGGCGCACCTGCTGGAGCGCATCCCGAGGCAAGGAAGCCGCACGGAGCCGACGAAGCCGCCCCAGAAGCGACGAAAACGTCTGGAAGCAGCGCGAGCCTCTCTGGGGGCATGCCCTCCCGAGGGGCGCGCGGAGTAACTCTCTGTGAATGTCTGTGGGCGATAAACACATCCGTGTCGGCGGCCTCGCGGGCCGCGCCATGGGCCGCGACCCCGCGGACGCAGGGCGTTTTTCCACGGATGCCCCGTGCGGAACGTACCCGTGCGACCGCGTATCCGCAGGATCGCGCCCCAGAATCCAGACCGCGAGGGCGCAGATACGAATGCCTATGCGACCGCCCTGCCTGGAAAAGATGTATTGGATAAGATGAGATGGATTGGATTGGCCCGCCGCAGGCGCAGAAACAAATTTATGTATGTATTGGGTTGGATGGATTGGATTGGGTGGGGTAAGATAAGATGGGACAGTATGGGTTTGATAGGATAAGATGTATTGGATGGGGCAAAAAGGATTGGATAAACTTATCTCAGCGCGACCATACCTAGGAGTTGAGGTTCAGGAAAGCAACATCTACATCTACACCGACAGCTACATTTACACATACATATGCATCTACATCTACATCAACATCAACAGCGAGACCCACATCTACACCTACATCTACACCTACCTCTACATCTACATATACATCTACATCTACACCTACATCCAAATCTACACCTACACCTACATCTACATATACACTTTCGCATTGGTTTTGCGTTTGCTTTGCGTTGCCTTTGCTTTTCCTCTTGCCTTTGCTTTTGCCTTTGCCTTTGCTTTGGTTTTGGCTTTTGTTTTTGCTGTTGCGTTTGCTTTGCTTTTGCTTTGTTTTTGCTTGATGTTGTTTTGCTTTGCCTGCGCACAAACACACACACACACGCATGTTTTCGCATTCGTTCACCGGGTGTGCTTGAGAATGTTCCGTGGCCTACACAGCACGACAAGGCATTGAGCAAGGTTGTGCAAAACTTGCTACACCGAACATGACAGTCATTACGACGCGGTGCTGAATCAATACATGCACACACACACGCACACACAAACATGCAGCATTCCACATGGGTGCTATGTATAAATACACAAATATTTGCATATATAGAAAGACATTTAGGACATGCGATATTCCGTCGGGTTTCATGTCTCCCGGCCGGTGCTATTTGCGAAACCTTCGTGAATCCTAAGGGCTCAAGCTGCCCCACTAAGGGCTCAAGATGGCCCACAGACGGACAACATGCATGGAACATACGTGCGCACACACATAAAAACACATATAGATATATAGCAGTACCAATAATAGTGGATGTTGTGCTGCGCTGCGCTATGCTATGCCGTGCTATGCTGCGCAGTGCTATGCTGGGCTAGGCTAGGCTAGGCTATGATATGCTATGCTATGCTATGTTATGATATGCAATGCTGCGCTATGCTATGCTGCGCTATACTATGCTACGCAATGCTTAATATACCATGCTTTTGTTTTGCCTTCGCTTTTGCCTTCACATTTGCCTTTGCTTGTGCTTTTGCTGAGCACCCAGGGGGCGCAACCGGGGGAACCGCCCGGGGCGTTTTCCACTGCCCGGCCCTTCAAGCAAACAGAATAAGAACCCTTCTAGGCAGAGCCTAGGTAGGGAATAAGCCGGATTTAAGAAGAAAGCCCGCCGCAGGCGCTGACAAAAATGATTGGATGGATTAGGTTGGGTGTATAGGATTGGGTGGGATAGTATGGATAGGATAAGATAAGATGGGTTGGATTGGAAGAAATGGATTGGATAAGATAAGATGGGTTTGATTGGCCCGCCGCAGGCGCAGAAACAAATGAATTGAATGATTGGGTTGGGTGGATTGGATTGGGTGGGATAAGATAAGATGAGACAATATGGGCTGGATCAGATAAGGTGGATTGGATTGGACAAGATGGATTGGATAAGATCAGCTGGATTTGATCAGAAAGCCCGCGGCAAACGCTGGAAAAATGAATTGTGAAACTAGCGACATGCGTTAGCGCTGGGACGCCCGGGACACCCGGGACACCGCCCGGCCCACCTGGGAAACGGACTTTCGCTCCGACTGACACCCGGGACGCCCGGGATACCGCCTGGCCCACCTGCTTTGTGAATTTCGGCGTTAGGCGGGTTGTAAGTTTGCACTAGCAGGTTATACCGAATTTACATCACTTCGCAACCGCCGCCGTAGCCGAGACTCATGTAACTATGTCATAACGAAGTTGTAAATTCTTGTAACTGTTGTAACTCTGTGTAACTCTTTGTGTAAGTTGTGTAACGTCTTGTAACTGTTTGCAACTCTGTGCAACTCTTTCCAGACGTGCCCGTCGAGAGCCCGCTTTACCAAGGGATCCGCACTCCATCCGTGTAAGTGTCGCCTCGGGGAAGCTTGCGTGTGGCGGGGTGGCCGTTACTGCGGCGCCGTGTCCCCCTCGCATCAGCTACGCCCCCAAAGTGACGGGCATGGAGCTCTTGCCCTGGCCAAACGGCGCAAGGGGGGAGCTCCAGCCGATCGGCCGAAAAAGCCACAGCCGCGGCCAGGGCCACGGCCGCGGCCGCAACCACGGCCACGGCCACGGCCACGTAGCCCACGACCACGGCCACCGCGGCCATGGCCACCACGTCGCCACCAGGGCCACGGCCACCTGATGATGATGAGGATGATGAGGAGGAGCGGGAGCAGGATGATGAGAATGGCGCGGGGGGATCAAGAGGATGAGGAGGAACATGAGGAGGAGGACCAGAAGCAAAAGGAGAAGGAGG